CAAAACATGACAACATTCCATGTGGCATTTGGGGAGAAATGTACAAATAATGAGGTATTTTGCTCACAGGTAGAGGTGTTTTGCTCTACACATGTAGATGAGACAGGTGATGTGAACGATCTGTGGCTGATTATGGCTGAGAAGAAATGACTGGGTAAATTCAGCATGTAAAGAGCAAGGGTAGGCTTTAATATTTTTTTCCAAATTCTTTTGGGTTTTATTTTTAGCAAATTAGGGGATGATGTGCGCATTTTCTCAGTTGTTCATCTAAGTAAATGTTGTGTATTCCCCATCTTTTAACCTTATCAGATGTTTTCAACCTCATTAAAAGCTGCCCCATCTATTAGAACACTCTTTTGGGTGGCAGAAGTCTGCGTTAATAAGGTCTTTTTTTTAATGCTGGTTGCTTTTTCTTAAATTAAAACAATATTCATTTGTCTCTGGAGTACAGAAATATGCAAACCAACACTGAAGAAATCTTTATGATTTATTTTTCCTTACACCTCTAAGGCTCTATCTGCTGCAAGCTGATAACCCTCATGTTGCAAACAAGACTTTTGTCCCAATTCTAATATCTGGGTGTATTACAGGGATGTGTGAAAAATAATACAGGCAGATCAGCTTAGCCCTGCATCAGATGTATACAACATATCATGTGTAACATGTATACAGCATGTATAAGTTTTGTATTCCAAATATAAAAAATGTATTTTAGGCATCTTTGCTCAGCAGAAATACAGTAACTATTTGGTCTGTTCCAGCAATAGCATCAAACCAATCCTTGAGTCTGTTGTATTACAACACCAAGAAGCATTTCACATGGGAGTGTTCAGCTGCTAAACACAGGATGAGCAAAAGAAGTCAGGTTTTCTTTTCTCTTTGTTTTGGTTTTACATGTTGGCTTCCAGCCTGGGCACTGTAGGGAACATAGACATTAGCTACTACCACTAAGTATCTGACACTCCAGTAATCTATTCACAGAAGGAATTCCTGCAAATTTAACTATTATCTGTTCCAGAGTTTTGATGCTGCAACATTTATTTTTTCAATACATCCTTGTGCCAATCCAAATCACAAAAGAAAAAACCAAAAAAACCAAACCAAAACAAAAAAAGACCCCAAAAGCCAACAAAACAACCAATCCAGATACCTAAAAATAGCCTACCAACAGCTTTGCGTGTGCAAAGGCACTGGTGGCAAGTCTGTGCAGACATACCAGTCCTGCCTAGTGTGCTGGACACGTGCCCACAATGTGATGGACTCTGAGCAAAAGCTGCAAAGCCTGCCTAATTAGCTAGGTAAGTAATTGAGCAGGACCCGTATGCAGTCCCATGCTGCCAGGGGTGCACTACCTGCAGGATTTTTTCTTGCAGAAGCTAGCCTGCATAAGCTGTGAGCTACACTCTGAGTCTGTTACCTAGGAAGGCTTAACGTTTCTTGATTCAGAGGATGTGGAGTGAATATTTCATCTGGATAAAATAATTATTTGGTTAAATTATTTCTAACCTCCTCAAATGAGAAGTTCTGCCAAGAATCAACCACCTGAGACTGGGATGATTAATTTTTGATGTGACCTGCTGGCTAACTTTGGCTGAGGAGCTGTGCATTTGCTCCAGCTGCCATGATAGCCCAATCCTGCAAGACAGCCTATGAGCTGGGAATGGCAGCAATGCGGCTGCTGATGCAGAAAATAAATATATTACCTAGTCCTGGAAGAGCATGGCCCTGATAATCTCTGAGCATATGTGTTCTGGATCAGGATGCTGTTTGGTGACCCTGTCGTGAGAAAGGCATTCAGCACTATTGCCTATTTCTGCACTGGAGACATTGCAGCATTATGCCTCCTAGAAGGAACACTTTGTTTTGCCTGATACAGATTAGAGAGGTGTGTGAGATAAAAATACCTTCCCACTACTATTTCTTCATTTGGATTCTTTTTCTTTTTAACCAGAGAAACACTTGATAAAATTCTTTTGCTCCAAACTGTATTTCCTTTTAATTGCTGAGCACCACTGCTGGTATGTGAGAGACACAGAGCATGGGCTGCATGTCCAGAAGGAAGTCTGCTGTATGTGACTGGGCAGGGGCCACCTGAGGTTTCTGGGGCAGAGCACAGCAAATGCTTCCCTTCCTGCCTCTGCTCAGCACTCTCCTGTTGTTGCCCCAGGCTGACTGCCCCTTGCAGAATGCAGGATCTCAGCAAGTCCTGATAGCCAGTAGCAGCATTACAATAACCCATCAGTCCCCTTGAATATTTGTTGCATCACCTGGGCTACAGAAATGCATTTCAGGCACCAAACTACGTATCATGGAGCTGTGTGATACCTGATTTCTTTAGGACAAGGTCTTTTCTAAGCTGGGACAATGATTCATCTCATGTAATTCAGGCATTTAAAAATTGTCTACGGCTGTACCAGTCTGACTTTACAGCTAATGGAGAAAAATAAGAAATACCAAAGGATGATTCACCTCATCCTAAGATAAGATGTCAAAAATAGGTGAGCAAAATTGCTCTTCAGACATAGTTATTCCTGTACATCAATTATAAATGGAGCCTCGGGAACTCAGGTTAAGTAGCGAAATCGAGCGACTAAAACTGCAATGATTTCCACAATGTGTGTCCCAGTTTTTTCATCACCTCCAGTTCTGTGAGAAACTGTGAGGCCAATTGATGAGCAGCCTTATTCTCCAGGCAAGTGTCCTCGCCTATGATCCACAGAGCAGCAGTATTTTGCAAAAGTTATGCTAAGAGGTCTGTGACTCCTTTAGATTAGTTTTCACTAATGGGTTTAATGCCAAAGGAGCATGGGGAACTGTAAAGAAACTTGGTGGGAAGAAAGTAGACTGAGTTACAAAGTTAGGGAATTGCCACCCAAAGCTGAACTTTCATAAAGGTCATTTTACCTGATCTGCTTCTGGCAATGTTCAGTGAGAGCAGAGGATGAAGTCTGCAACAGCCAAGTGCTACCTGACTTCTCAGGCTAGGATCTCCATGGAATTGGGTTTTGTATAGGTCTTCTGCTGGCTCCATGCACAGGGGCAAGTATAAAAGCACAATAAGCTACTTCCTACCCACCACAGGTTTTCAAATTGTCTCCACAAACTATAACTCAGACATCTCTGTGTACACTCATACTGGAATGTGATGTGGCAATTAAACCTGAAGAGAAGCTAAGAAAATCCAGTAGTGGTTAAAATTTTTATGTATTCAGAAAGCATGAGTCAGAATGATATTATCTCAGATATTATACTGCTGCCACAGCCACATAACTCTCATCAGTATGAATAGAAGTCAGGCACCTTAAAGAGCGACAATACTCCACAGAGAAATAGAACAACAGATCTTAAAAGTGAAAATAATTTTCCATAGCTGTATCAGTTCTGTAATTTTAGTGTCATCTTGAATTATATAGTATTTAAAGAAGCATGAAACAGCAAGAATATTAATTCCTGATGTCAGAGAGAAGAGTTATTTCTGGCAGGTTTTAATGGATCTGCTGTATCACATGGAAATTTCTTCCAGCTAGCCAGGAATAAATCCATGTACAAAGCTTACATTCTAACCTTGTAATAGAACCAAGTCAGGGTGACAAATTCACAGTTATGCTAAAGCCACATGTTGTGGTTACTGTCTCTTCTAAGACCCTGGTAACACTTTATAATTGTTGCTTATCTATTTTATAGCTCCCAGAAGAGCGCTGCCTCTCTCAGTCGAGATGAGACACGACCTCTGCTTGAACACCAGCCTGCTGGTCAAGAGCTGCTCTGAAGTCGCAGCACAATGTGAGTGAAGCCAAGGGTTTCAAGCGGCTACAGTTATCCAGCACTGCATGCAAGTACTTTAGTTTATTAAGTGCTAAGTCAACACATAAGAGTTTTTAGCACAACTGACGTCAAAAAGGAGAAGCAATGGGACAAAATGAAGGACAAGACACCCAACCATGCTTAGCCATCACAGCCATGATGATGGAAGAACATACAGCTGCAATGGCCACGCTGCCAGCACAGAAGCAATTAATTGTCAGGTTAATTTGAGACAGGAGATGGTAGTAGCTTTTCAAGTCTGCTCAGGAGTGTCTCCCAAGGCCAGGAGCCACTCACTGGGCACTGCAGGGGAACCAGTCTGACAGGTCCCTGGAGACCCTGGAGAGGGAAAAAGAGCAAACCTGCAGATGAATAGTGTTTTGAGACAGCAGTGTCATAGTTAAACTATATGCTACAAAGACAACACGATATATCCCAGCACCAGAAATGGGTCAGGGATTAGGGCCACACGTCTGCCGTCTTGGCAGAAATCAAACTGCAGCCTGCGCTGGGACTTGAGCTGGGTTAGGTACCACTGCCTGTGTCGGGAGCAGACCCAGAGTACAAATAACACAATGTGAAATGGCTTTTAAGAAACTGAAAAGAGGGTCTAATTCTGGAAATCCTGATGAGGGTCTCAGCTTTGAATCGCAGGAGAGAATGGGACCTGCGCCGGCAGCCACCTGAACACCCCGGAGGCTCGGCGCGGGCAGCGGGCGGGCGGTGCCGGGGCCCGCGGGGCTCCAGCCGGGGCGCTGCGGCTCCTGCGGCAAAGCCCCCGGCCCTGCCTCACGCAGGGGAGCGGCGCCGCCGCCCCGCTTACCTCCGGCACGGCTCCCCGGCCCCGCCTGGAGCTGAGGGAGGGAGGGAGGACCCGGCGCTCCCCGCCCGGCGCCACACGGGGGGAGTTTCCCCTCAGCGCGGGCAGGTGGGGCCGCTCCGCCGCCCGCCCCGCCTCAGCCCCGCGGGGCAGCGCGGGCAGCTCACGGCTCGGCCGCTGCCCCTCGCCGGCAGCCGCCGCCAGCAGCAACAGGTCCGTGCCCGCTCCTCCCTCCGCCTGCCAGGCGAACAAAGGGGCCGAGCGCGGCCCCGCGCCCGCCCGGCCCCTCCGCCAGCCCGGCCCCTGCGCTTCAGCCATTTGCCTCGCCTGGCACCGCGGCGCCGCTCGCCGCCGCCTCCCGCTCCGCCGCCTGGGCCGGGCGGCGCGGCCGCTGCGCTGCGGGAGCTGCCCCGGAGCGGCGCGGGGCTCGTCGGCCGAAAGGTGAGCGGGGAGGCAGCGCGACGGCAGCGGGGAGGGCTGGTGCCGGTGTCTGCCGATATCTGCGGTAAGCACCGCGACGTGGAGCCGCGGTAGCCGCGTGTGTGTGAGATGGGTTGCTGGAGCACTGTCAGGTTTTATCGTGTTCCTTTTCTCTTTCCTCTGGCCCCCTTAGTCCACCTCCTCTGGGCAGCGGGGAGGCCGAGCATATCCCCACATCCCTTCTCCATATGTCGCAGAGGAGCCAACCCTGATGCCTGCGTATTTTATTTTATTTTATGTTTTTATCCTGCTGACCTATTAAAAATCGAAATGACTCTCTACACTAACGTTTAGGGATGTGTAACAGCAGGAGATTGCTTCCCGCTATAAATTCTTCATGGCGTGCTACTCCATCCTGCTAAAAGCAGGCGCAAGCCCTGGGTGAGCATACGCGTGCAGGATTTGGCAGGGTGGAAGATGCTTCAAAAAAAACTTGTACTGAATTTCAGTAGGTAGATTTCTATGTCTGGTGATTTAAAGCAATAAAAAGCAGACTTCTGAACCCAAACTTACACATAGCACAGAAAATGATAGTATTAAATCCTATAGCCAACTTTTTTCACCCATCAGGAAAAAATAAAACCCTCTAGAAATAATAATATTTTGTAAAGCTTTTCCACAGCAATTAAACCAAACAATAGAAAACTGGAGCAAAAAGCTAGGGGAAAAAAGTAGGGCAATAAAAAAATAGAATAACAATAAAATAGACCAATCTTTCTGTATGATCTGAGGAGCAAAAGTGCTTCTCTGTTTTCCAGGGACTTAACCGTCTGCCTCCCAAAAAGGAATTAAGTGGAATATTCGTGGAAACTAATAATTAAATTGTCAGTCGTATTGACAAAGCAATATTTCCTCTCTTGTTTAACTGCTTGGCCCATCCTGCTTGTTCTGCATTCTCCTCTTCCCAGGACCCATCACACAGCGTTTATTCACTCTTTAATTAGGACATCCAGAGCATGCCAGTGGGATGCTCTGGTCATCCACTGCTAATGCCACTGTCTGGTGGGAACCTGCCAAGAGCCAAGGGCTGGTCCTGTGCCTGCCCCAGCTCCTCTGTGCTCTGCAGGACTCACTCCTGGCAGTGGAGCCACTGAAGTCAGTGGTGCCACTTAGAAGCTGGAGTTTGCAGGACTGCACCTTGATAATATCAAAAGGTTGAAATCTGTAGTAGCTTCCTTTCTTTTACAAAAGCTGTGTTTGCATCACTTTTCAATATAACAAATACTCCAAAGAGATGGACAGACTTGAAATGTCAATAAATATTAGAGCACCATTATTTGGCAGGAACATTCAATTAAAGTCATTAACTGGCTTGACTATAGTAAAGCAGGATTATAGTATTTAGGACTGGCCTGGGTTACCATAGAGACAACGATGTGGTGAGATGGCTGCATCCAGATCCTACTTACCAGGGATTTCAGCATCCTGTAGTATCCTGTTGCAAGAGGATATTAGGGGCAGCTGACTGCTACAGAAGGGTATAATAAAACATGAAAGGGAATCCTGCAATTTCTTTTAAGGTAGAATTAAACTTTTTTTAATACTTTTTTTTTTCTTGCTGGGATCCTTTGTGGATTTTGCAAGGATTTTTCTGTTTATTCCTACTGACACTATACAGCATTGCAGTTGGGAGTCTGTTTCTTGCATCTGAACAGAAGCAGAGAAGTCATTTTATGCCACTTCACATCCTTGAAAATACCCATTTAAAAAATGAGCTCATTTTCATTGTATTTTTTCTCATTAGCCTTCTCAGAACATGACATTTTTACTCTTGGTGTTTTATTTTTCAGTGAAATTGTCATCATCTATTGTTTCTGCTTCATGTTTGGTCTCAGTGTTGTTTTGTCAGCGAGCAGGCATGATTAGTTCCTTTCACTGGAGAAGAATTACTTTATAGCAGTTCAGGGTTTGACAACTAGTTTAACCTGATGTGTGACTGAGCTCTCATTGAGCAGGAGGGAACCCTTCTCTTTCCCTAGCCTGGGCCATACATTCCTGCCCAGTTTCCTGTGCCATTTGACAACACAGGGAATCCACAGAGATTTTGCCTTCTCCTGCAGTTAATTAAGCAAGCACTCAGTTTACACTGCAGATGTTGGCATTACCAGTGGTGTTAGTCCTGTGAACAGAGTGTTTAAATCTGTGTGTAACTCTCTGCAGGATCAGGACCAATTGATTGGCAGTGCTGCACCCTTTTCTTCATCCTAAAGTGCTCCTTGGATGCTAACTGGCAGTTTTGGCTTCAGAAGGATTACAAGACTGGGTCAGTATTGTATATGGGTGATTGAGTGTTAATGCAAAAAAGAGCTGGCTGGGTGGTTTTATTCTGCACTGCACATTTGGTACTTCCCAATAAGTTTCTTTCTTATACCTCATCAGTGAGGATGGCAGGACTCATGATTGGTTAAGTCAGTTTATTTAATGCAAAACAAGCATGAGAAAAAATCCAGTGGTTCTACAGATTTTGTACCGTGTGTCAGGGGGAGAAGAAAGATTTGTCACATAAATGCTTTTCAGGTGGGATGTTTCACAGGCTGCCATTGCTGTGTCTCTGGGTGAAACAGACAGAGTGACAGCCTTTTTTAACTCACTTGGACACACACCAGAAACCACAATCTTCCTATACAAATCAGCATATGTTGGTCAAGCAGCTTCCATGCTGTTATGTAGTCTGTCACAACATGATTTGCATTAATTGAAGTTATTTTGCATTTATGCATTCATAGATTAGCACAAGCTCTTAGTTGTTTTTCTGGACACTGACTCCTCCAGGAGTACTTAAGGAGCTAGGTAAGTTTTGCATCTCAGCTTTGGATCTCTAACTGCTGGCAGGCTCCTGGACTTCTGAATCATTTCAAACTATCAACCTGTCAGAGTTATACAATAGTTTTGTTTTTTTTCTTCTTGGAAGCAGTTCTGTTTTTTTCTCTTTCCCTTTTTCTCGTAAGTAGATTGAAAAAACAGGCCCTAAGCTCTGGAAATGAACTCTTATTTCTGCAACCCATATTTGAGGTGTTAGACAGAAAGAACTAAAAGCCAGCCCTTTGCTGTGGGAGTGGCAAGTGAAACAAATGTTCTGATTCCGTCAGTCAAAGACAAATCCATTCTTGGAAGAGTTTTTCTCTTATCCTGTAGCTTGCTTTCATCTTTTCTTTTTACTGCAACTCCCTGCATTGCTTTAGTTCAAAAAAAAGCTACCGTTTACATTTGTCTGTACAGTTGTGGTGGATTAACCCTGGCTGGTTGCCACGTGCCTACTAAAGCTGCTCTGTTACTCCTGAGCTGGACAGGGGAGAGAAAATAAAGTGTAAGTCTCGTGGGTCAAGATTAGCACAGTGAGTTATCACTCACCAGTTACTGCTACAAGCAAAACAGAGTCGACTTAAGGAAATCAGAGTAGGATAATGAGAAATAAACCCAAATCTTAAAAACATCTTCCCACCATACTTCTTTTTTTTCCCAGGCTTAACTATACACTTGAATTCTTTACCTTTCCCCCTCCCCCAGTGGTACAGGGGGAGAGAGACTGGGCATTGTGGTCAGTTCATCATGTTGTCTTTGTTGCTGCTTCTTCCTCACAATCTTCCCCTGTTCCAGCAAGGCTGAGGGATGGGATGAACCACAGGAGAAGGTTCTCCACAAAAGTCCTTCCCATGGGCTGCTGTTCTTCACAAACTGCTTCAGCACGAATCCCTCCCTTAGGGTACAGTCCTTCAGGAGCAGACTGCTCCAGCACAGGCTCTCTGTGGGGTCACAAGTTCTGCCAGCAAATCTGTTCCAGAGTGAGCTTCCCACAGGGTTATGGTATCCACAGTGTCCACCTGTTCCAGTGTGGGATCCTCCACAGGCTGCAGGTGGATCTCTGCTCCAACATTAACCTCCATGGGCTGTAGGGGCAGAGCTGCCTCACCATGGGCTGCAGGGGACTCTCAGCTCCAGTGCCTGGAGCACCTCCTCCCTCTCCTTCTGCACTGACCTTGGAGCCTGCAGATCTGTTTCTTTCACATATTCTCACTCCTGTCCTCTCTGGCTGCACTTTGCTCCTGCGCAGTAGCTTTTTCCTCTTCTTAACTCTATCATCATCCCAGAGGCACCACCACCATCACTCTGGTGGGCTCTGCCTTGGCCACTGGAGGGTCTGTCCTGGAGCTGGCTGGCCTTGGCTCTGTCAGACGTGGGGAAGCTTTTGGCAGCTCCTCACAGAAGCCGCTGCTGCCGCGGCTGCAAAAACCTTGCCATGGAAAGCCGGTACAACAGTGTCAGAAATCCAGATGCTCGTGAAGTTAATTGGAATTTTCCTTGACTGCAGTGGGGTTGGGGTTTAAGGTCATGTCAGACTCTGGTTTGATCAAAATTCTCTGTGAAGCTTAGGTGGCAGTTTCTAGTTGCAGGCTGCTATCACAAGCCTCATTCTCTTCAAAGCCATGGAAGTGAGCAGTACACAAACATACTTCTTCAATAGCAATTGATAATTGAGTTTTGAAGTTAGGTTTCCACAATACATGCAGAAACAGCAAAAGTAAATGTCATTTGAGTGTATTGTGTGAGCTTTGGAGTTTGTCAGTGCCATGTGTCCCAAGAAGTATTTAATTTTGATCTTAGGAAAACAAGGGCAAAGACTGTTCATGTGCATTCATGTGATAAAATTCACTGGTGCTGCTTCTTTTTGTTCAGGATGAGGTCTGTACCAGTCATTCTCTGTGAATGACCTTTGAGACAGGCAAGAGAGTTGGAAGAATCTGTTAGTCCAATACCTGGATAATATTTCTGCCGAGGCTTGTACCCCCAAAATCAGGCAGCTTTTCACATGACAGTGGCTGAAAAACCTCAGTATCTGGTTTGAGATGTTGCTGATGTGTATCTAAAATCTTTCTAGAAGCAATCAAAGTTTAGACTTCTGACTGAAACATCAAAATCTCTAAATGGTCAGAACCACAAGCCAGGATCCCTGAATCTAAGCTTCTCATGGCTCCCAAATCATAACCATAAAACCAAACATCTCTCTGTGTTCAGCATTCTGATGTAAAAGTCTTGCTTCTTATTCTAGGCCCTGACTGTACACCTCTGCCCAGCTTGCAAACTAATAAATGCAAGGATAGCACTGTGACTGTTGAACGTGCTGCATATTTAACTGCATGCATTAGCAACCCTTTATTCTGTAGCACTTGAAAATGACACGTTTGAGTCATGGATTAGTCAGAAATACTACAGTATTTACTTCTACTCTGTGTCAAAAAGTCCTAAAGCAGATAGGACAGTTCTGTGATCATAATCACCCTTCAAGGTTGTGTTGCCAGTCTGGATGTCTCTTCAGAAAGAGCAAGGATCATTTTGGGGAGAGAGAATTCCAAAGTGAAAAGCAGCATGTACATTTCTTCAAGGTATTCAGGATGATCTATTTGACACCTGCTTTTCCATCCAGGCCATTGGCCAGAACAGAGAAACCAGATAGACGTGAGGTGAATGATCTGAACAGAACAACGTTTTGACCTAATTCATCCAAAAGTTACTGGCTTGCTACAGGAGTAAAATTCTTTGGCCTTTTCTTGCAGGAATAAGATTAGATAACCAGGCAATCTTTTCTGTCCCTTTAATTTAGATACCTGTTGGCCTCATTCAATGGAAAAACCCATTATAGTGGGAGATACTGAATTGCCTGCTCTAAATTCTTGTTGTAGAAGTAGAGCTTAGTCAGAGAAATTAGTGCCAGAAAACCTTTCCTGAACGCTCAGGCTCAGCATATGAAATTCACATTATAGTAAAAAATGCTATGCATTGAAGGCAGAAAGTGTCAGCCCATGAAAATAAGAGTATTCTTATAGAAACCTATTTTGGTTTTGTCTCAGAATGGTCAGCAAGTGTTAGCTTCTACTAATGTAAACAGCATGCATTACACTCAATTTTCTCTTCTTTCCTTTTATAATTCCAGTGATTACATAAAGTCACTTAATACTTTGTTAAGCCCTCCAGTTGCATCATTGCTGCTAAAAGCATTTCCATTGTTTGGTGAAATCCGGGCTGACAGCCTACAGGTACTCCTGATAGTAAAGGCTTGCTGCAGAAGTACCTATGGCTGCAGCATGCATTTCTGCTTTGACATCAGCGCAAGTGGTTTTCAATCCCAGCACAAGACAGAGTGGCTTAGATCTCCAGGCAATATAGCTGAGCCCTGATCCTCTAAAGGCAATGGGAAGAAGTACAGAAACTTTGTTTTTGGCAGGGAGCAGAACCCAGGATTCTTCTTCCTTACCCTCAAAAACATTTTTTATTGTCTCTCTGAAAAGTAGTAACTGCTTTAGTCTGAAGGACTGAAGTGACTAAAGTCTACAAAGTGACCTTCATAGACTTGATGGTTTGGGCACTTGGTTGATAATCAGGCAAAGGAAGGGATGGTGACAAGTTTCCCATGGGGCTTGGTCAGAGCTCTAATTGTTGTACAGAAAGGCAGAGTAGCAGCAAAAGTCAATATTGCTGTCCTTTTAAGTAATTCAGGTATATTTTGCAGAGGATTCTGGGCTGAGGCACCCAAAGAAAGAACTGAAGTCCCCTGATGGCACAAGCTAAGGACTTCATCACCATGGTCTTTACTGGGTAGCTCTCAGGCACTTATTTTTGAGGATCCAAATCAGTTGCCATCTAACTGTACCCACCCATGCATATGTGTGCAGAGCCTGTGTGTATGTTCCAGATTCCATTCCAGGAGCTGGTTACAGCATTGCTCTGCAGCTGAGACACAGCATCAGTCTCTCTTGCAGGAGAGCTGGGAGGTGCATCCCACCCACAGATAAATTCTGTGTGGGCATATGGCCCTATGTCTATCCACCCTGGCCTGATTTTCATTAAATAAAATAAAAGAAGTCAAACTCCTGTGAGTAACCTAGTAGGTCACAGTTATAGGACCAACAGCAAAGTATTCCAGTAGCATTTCTGCCATGAAGAGAGAAGCCTGTGCAAGCTGATTTCTTCTTTCAGATTAGGGCTGTCATGCTGGAGGCTTTGCTCTGCTATCTGATCTGGCTGTCTTGGGTCTTACATCTTTGCTGCATTGCCAGCTGCCAGATAAACCTGCCCTCAGAGTCAGCCTTTGCTGTGTTTAGCACTGTGGCAGGTCTCTCCATATTTGATTCCAGTCCAAGGTCTGTGTAGAGACAATGTCTGCAGGAACCTGGAATTTTTCTTGAAATCAAACTGCCTGTAATGTAATTTTTAGTTGCAGCTAAACCTTAGTTTTTAACCATAAACCTTAAGTTTGAGGAAGTATCT